TACAGATTGTGTCAAAGCAACTGAACAGCATTAATTAGGAAAATAGTGTCAATAATGCAAAGTGACAATAGTAAACACTCATTTTTCAGTTAAAGACAGTTCATCATTGAATTCAGTGATGTCAACATCCAGCTCAGTTTAAATAATATCTTTGCAATCATGTCAACGATAACGCTGGAAATGAAGTGTCCCCACACACACAGACACACACACACACACACTCTCTCTCTCTGTCACACACTCACACACGCACTGATACACACACACTGATACACACACACACACACAGACGTTTGAGTCATAACCCCTTTCTGCGTTATTGCTAAATATAATTTCATCTCCAGAATGCAATAATCCCTGAAATGATATGATTACATTATGCCACTCAGTCTGAATTAAAGGAAAACATTTTACGAATGGCTGGTTTGAAAAATGAATGTTGTCTGTCGCCTCTCCAAATAAATCACTCCAGAAGGTAAAGAGCTGAAGAGCCGTCTCCATTCCTCTGTGGCTCGTTCAGCTTCCAGCTCCTGACATGACACTCCATTTGTTTGCGTTTATGTCTGATTTAACATCTTTCTGTCAGATGATCTCCTGCAGTTTACTTTCGTTTCAGTGCCGGTTTTGTTTGCTGGTGTTCATGTGTCGTTTAGTCATTCTGTGATCCACAACATCCGGATGGACAGAAAATCTAATGCATTAAAGCAGAGGGAAGAATTTAATATAACTGACTATCATTTTACAAATAATAAAATTTATAAAATCGTTACAAAATCATGGAAAATTGTTTTTTAATAGTCAATATACTGTATATTTCTAGTTATTATAAGCTTTTCATCATCTGTTATTATGATGGTGTGTAATCAGGTCTGAATGACTAACAAACAAACATGCATGCGGTGCGTTTCTGATGTGTGTGAGTTTCTCTTTCAGCTGCAGACAGAAACTCAGTCGCAGTGCTGCTGTTTACTGCTGGTGTCTGAAGACAATCACCAACTCTTCTGTCAGGTGACACACTCATAAATATGTATTTATATTGTTTCTGAATTAAGTGTATTATGCTCACAGAGGCTGCATTTATTTGATCAAAAATACAGAAAAATAGTGAAATATTATTAGAATGTAAAACAGCTGTTTTCTGTGTGAATCTCTGTTAAACTGTAATGTATTTCTGTGATGCGCAGCTGTATTTTCAGCATCATTCCTCCAGTCTTCAGTGTCACATGATCTTCAGAAATAATTCTAATATGCTGATCTGCTGCTCAAGAAACATTTCTGATTATTATCAATGTTGAAAACAGTTTTTGATGCTTAAAGATTTTTATTCATCAAGGACGCATTAAATTGATCAAAAGTGTCAGTAAAGACATTTATAATGTTACAGTAGATCTCTCACACTCACACACCCACACACTCACACACACACACACACAAACACAAACACAAACAGACACACACACACACACCACACAAACACAAACAGACACTCTCTCACAGAGTATTTTCTCTGCAGGTTGTCGGAGATAAAGTTTTGGAAGAGGAAATCAGTTTTCCAGTAAGTTTTTCTTTTCTCTTGTTATTTGTGTGTGTGTTTCTATTACTCAAACAGCAACTTATGGGTTTGAATCAAATTAAACATATACCATGAATGCAATGCAATGTAGTGTGCGTTTAGTGTGTGTGTGTGTGTGAGAGTGTGTGTGTGTGTGTGTGTGTGTGTGTGTGTGTGTGTGTGTGTGTGTGTGTGTGTGTGTGTGTG